CTACTCGTAAAAAAGGACTCACTACCTCTTCCCCTACAGTGGACGGCTGCATCCACCGGGCCGCCGGACCCTGCTCACCGATGAATGCGGACCCTGCAGAGCTGCGAGACCGGCAAAGCCAAGATCACCTGCGGCTATCGGCTGCCGGCCAAGTGTGAGTCCCCGACACCCCCACCCCTGTGGGGCACAGACAGGCGCCTGGTGTGATTAGGGGTTATGCTGCACGCCCCACATTATTGCTGGAGGCCCTCTCAAGGGACACTTCTGAAGTGCCAGGACCTGGCCCCTCTCGCATATGCATGTGGGGAATGATGAGCAGCAAGGACTTGAAGGGAGGGGAAGAGCTAAGGAACAACAGCCCAACTTTCTCAGCCGGGTCCATACAGATGTGGGGAAGGGGGCAAGTGTGAGCCTGCCTGTGTATGTCGAGGTGTGGATTTAGGCTCGAGGGCACAAAGGACCACATGGGTATGGTCCTTCCCAAGGCTCAGAACTTGGGGTGGGGGACCTGTTTCCTGTCTCCTCCAGGGCTTAGGCCGGCAGGAAGGAAAGCCAAGGACCACACTGGAGCCCCGGGCCTGTCTGATCTGATCATTTCCCACAGATGTCATCCACACGGTGGGGCCCATCGCTCACGGAGAGCCCAGTGCCAACCAGGCCGCGGAGCTCCGCAGCTGCTACCTGAGCAGCCTCGACCTGATGCTGGAGCACCGGCTCCGCTCCGCGGTGAGGGGCGCCGAGGGGCGGAGGATGGGAGTGACGTGGAACCGAGGCGGGAGGCAGCGGGCGGGAGGCAGAGCTGAGAGTGACGCTGTCCCCAATCCCTTCCCCTGCCCCAGGCATTCCCCTGCATCTCCACCGGCGTGTTTGGTGAGTAGAGAAGAGGAAGGGCACGGGTGGGCAGCGGTTGGGCCCAGAGGCAGGGAGGGGCCGGGGCGGGCTGGGCAGGGGACGGGGCCGGCACAGGGAGGGGCGGGGCGAGGCGGCGAAGGGCGGGCCAGAGCCCGGGACTCAGTCGCGCCCCACTGTCCTGCCCACAGGCTACCCCAATGAGGCAGCAGCCGAGGTAGTGCTGAGCACGTTGCGCGAATGGCTGGAGCAACACAAGGACAAGGTGAGGCCCGGGCCCAGCTGAGGGGAACGAATGTGGGTGGGATGGCGGGGCGCATCCCGACCCCACCAGTCATCGTTGAGCAGTGTGCAGAGCTCCAGGCACATGGGGCTCTGGCCTTGCCTGCCCTCTGTGCATCCCTTGCCTTTCCTCGGGTCCTGTTTCCTCTCCTGCACCCAGGGCATCATCCGTGGTGGGAGAAGGGGATAGCTGGGCACACACCACGAGCCCCCTGTGAAGGGTGTAGCTCTAAATTCAGATCGATGAGCACCCCAAGGGCAGGGCAGAGCAGATGAAAACCGGCAGGGGTGGGGGCAGTTATAAGGCTGGGGAGCGGGGATGTGGACGGTTCCGACCCAGGCTGAGCAGGCCCTGCACAGGTGGACCGGCTGATCATCTGCGTGTTCCTGGAGAAGGATGAAAACATCTACCGGCAACGCCTCCCCTACTTCTTCCCCGTGGGTAAGTACCCAGTGGTGGGGCCCTGGCCAGCCCCTGCCCCGCCCCCATCCACCCCGGACAGGTTCTCACTGTCCTCTGCCTTCCAGCCTGACGGCACCCCACCGCCTACCCTGACCAGGACTGGTAAGCAGGGCCTGGCCCTCTGTGTGGCTGCCCACTAACCTCCTGCCCACTAACACACCCGCTCACCCTCGACCCCGCTCACCCCCATGCAGGGAAGCCAGGGAGGCAGTTTGGGGCAAGCCCACAGCCCACGTGCTCTGACGTCTCCGCTCTGCCCACAGACTGGCCTGAGCCCGCTGGACCTCGCTCCCAGCTCTAAGAAGTCGCCGAAGCCTGCAGCAGGGCTTGGCCTGGCCACCCTATTCTTTCCCTCCGCACCCTGCCCCCTCCTAATAAACACTGTTGCAGCTCCTACTGTCTCAGCCCTGGCTGAGGGTGAGGGAGGCGGCCCAGGTGTGGACAGGTGCTTTGGCTTAAAGGGGCTGGCGAGAGCTCTCAGTGAGCCAGGCAGGTGGAGGCATGGGCCGGACAGCACAGGTGGGCAGCAGTACTTCACATTTATTGAGGACCTGCCCCCAAGGAGCTCACAGCCTGGGGGCCAAGTCCCCACATGTGCTGGGAAAAGAGAAGAGGTGAAGGCAAAAAGGAAGGCAATGCAGACACCGCGGCCCAAGCAAAGGGGGTGCAAAGCAGGCACAGGCAGGAGGCCGAGGGGTGCAGGTGGTGGGAGAATGGTGGCCTGGCAAGCCCCACTGGACCTGGGGATGGAGGGCCAAGCACAGGCTTGAGGGCTGCCCCTCCTCCACCTGGCTGGCACCACCTGGGGTGCACTGGGGTACCCAGGCTACTCCACCTGCCCTGAGCCAGGCCCCACCATCATGCCATGCCTCTCCACCCAGCTCTCCTCGACCATGCAGGCCCCTGACGGAGGGCAGGCAGCCAGGGCCCTGGCCAGGACATAAGGGTAGAGGCAGGGCCTATGAGGGAGCAGCTTGAAACTTTGGTGGTCCTGGTCCTGGTCCACAGCAAGTCTCAAGGAACTTGCAGATTTCCAAGGAAGCCCCTGGCTAGCTAAGGGGGGAAGGCCTGAAGGGTAAAAAGCAGAACCCCAATAACCAGGAGGGGGTCCCCAAGAGGCCTCACCCCCTCAAAACTGCTCCTGCTGGGGAGACTTGGGGGGGTGGACAGGCCGAAGGCTGAGAGGAACCCACCTGAGGGGAAGGGGGGCAGCCAGACACAGAGCAGCCAGGCGGGCAGCAGCAGAGCAGGGACACGCACACACGTGGCTCACCACCAGCGTCCCCTTTAATAAAATGTGGAAGGTCGAGGTCGTGTGACAGGGAAGGGGTGGGGCATGAAGTATGACCATTTACAACCACAAAAAAACCTCTGTACATGTCTAGCGCCTGGCAGAGGGGAGGGCAGGCAGGGCAGTGGCAGGCTGGGGCCAGCCCTATTTGTAGAGGATATCGTAGTGTCCAGGCCGGTAGAGAAGGTAGACCTTGGGCTCAGAGCCCTCGGGGAAGATGTGGGGGTTGGTGGTGCCGCCCTCGCCGCGGTCCATGTACTCCACCTGGATGGAGACGCTTAGCGCCTGGGCCAGCGCGATGATGTGGATGTGGTCGCTCTCCTTACACATGGGCTCCACCTCCTGCAGCACAGGGGCGGGTCAGGGCCTGGGGATCAGTGCCTCCCGCCTCCCGCCCCCCACCCCCGCAGGCAGGAGAGAAAAGAGGGGCCTGAGTCTGAGGAGTGGGGAGGGGGCAGCACCTGCTGGCAGAACTCCTTGACGGTCCGCCCACCCTCGATGAAGTGCTCGAAGAACTTGCTCTCACGCTGCAGGTAGCCCGAGGTGAGCAGCCGCAGGTACACCACCAGGTAGTCCGAGGTGCTCTGGTCGTTGAAGGAGGCCAGCAGGTCGGCCACTGACGTCTGCTTCTCCACCTGCTCGATCAGGTCCATGAACTGCCACCCAGGAGGGACAGAGAGCAAAATAAGGGAGGAGATGGGTCAACTATGCCATGGCCAGACCACCCACCCTCTACCCTGGCTGAGTGGGCGATGGGGCGGCTGGGCTCACTGTGTTATGAAAATCCTCAATTGTGAACTCAGTGAAGCCCTGGGACACCAAGTCCTCTTTGCTCTTGGCAGACACAGCCTTGAACCTGTGGATGGGAGGGAAAGGGAGGCTGGCATGGGCTCCTCAGCCAGCAGAGCAGGGGCCCAGAGGTCGGGGACTGGCCAGCACCAGAGGCCACTTCCCCCGGCTCAGACAGCAGCCTCAAGCAGGGGCCCAGCCTGGCCTCAGGTGGAACTGCACCTCCCAGTCATCAGACATGAAGGGACCCCTCACGGAACCCTCCCCTACCCACCTCCTTCAGTGCCCAAGTGCCCACACTCCTCACCGCTGCAATTCCTTGCTGTCATCCAGCAATGCCTCCAAGTGGGAGAATCCAAAAGCTCGATAGAAGCAGTTCCCATCAGGCCTGGTCTTGCGGATGTACGAGTACTTTTTGTGGAGGTCCTGGAGAGAGGCAGCCCCCACCCCATCCCGTGCCCATCAACATCAGGCCAAAACCAGGGGGGCCAAGGAACCCCTCCCTGCAAAGGTCATACCACAGCAGGCGGCAACTAAGCTCCAAGCAGCCACCGGCCATGCTTGGCTGCTGACTCCGATGATTGGAGTCCCTTAGCGACCTGCTGCCAGGAGCCCCCAAAGCCTCAGGAAACTGACGAACACACTGGTTATACGGATCACAGAAATGGTCACCAGCCACTGGGCATGCCATGCTGCTGGGCCTGAAGGGCTGTTTGTTCACAGAAACCGGCAAGTGAATGGGTCCTTGACCAATGCAGCTTTTCCAGTGAGTAGTCTTTCAAACCAGAAGAGTTCCAGGGCAAACAAGTTAGGGCAAGGGGCACAGGGCCAGCTTGTGAGGCTCCCACTGCACAGCCCCGGGGCTGGTAACTGCCTCCCTCTTCTCCCTGTGAACTCCGCCCTGCCCACTCGCAGGCACTGGTTTGATCTTTTCCAGTTTCCTCCCCAAATTCAACGGAATTTCTATTGAACCTCCCCACAGGAGTAGGAGGTCTGGCTGGCAGTGCTGTCTGGCAAGCAGGCCTAACTCCTCAGGTCTGGGAACCCTCCCCTTCTCCTGATGCCTATTTCACACCTTCTCCATTCTCCTTAACCTGCCCCCTACCCCACTTCATCTTCCCCATGACCTTGCTTCCTTTCTGACTGAGGACTTTTCACTGAGAACCCCTCAGCCCGCACCAGCACATCCACCCCCCGGCCCTCTCTCCTGAGCCTTGGAGGGTCTGAGGTTGCTACCAGAGCCGCCTCTCCCTTGAACTCAAGGATACTGTTCCAGGAAGTCTCTCTTCTCTGCATCATCAGTTTCTCTCCCTACTAGTTTAGACCCATCAGCATGTAAACACAAGGCTAGTTCTCCCCTTAAAAAATATCCTTTGCTTCCCATGAATTCCTTTCCAGCTGCCATCAATTTCCCTGCTCTCCTGTAGAGCAGAGCTGTTTGTCAAGTTCTGTGCTTACTGCCTCCATTTCTCTTCTGCTGTGAACTCAATCCAAGCAGGCTTTGCACAGATGCCCTCTTAAATCTGAAGGTCAAACCCACTCCTCCCCAGACCCCATTCAGCCACGCCCCGTAATGCCCCACCACACCCTTCTCTTCCCTACCTCCCTCCGCCTGCTGGTAGACCAGCCCTCTCCACCATGTCCTCCTCCAACCTCACCGCTGCCCCTCCATCTGCCCCTCCTCATCTAACCTGTGAATGTCAGGGCCACCACCAAGCCACACGGCACCCTTCCTCAAGACACCATGTGTCACCTTCTAGAAGACAGTCACACCACAGACCGTCCACAGTGACTGGCACAACCCTGCTCAGCCCTGGGGCAGCTTCTGCATCAGCCATACTCACTCTAGGAGAACGTAGTTCTTTGCCAGGCCTGCTTCTCGGCCCTCAACTCCAACTTCGACTCACATCCAATTGACTTAGGCCCACTCCCCCGACCTGCCCGGCCAACAGGCGGCTCTGGACTCCCCACGCCCCGCTCCTCATGGCCTTCCCCCCAGTTACCTGCAACTCCTCCACCTTTCAGCTGCTCAAGCCCAAACCTTACATCCACTGCAGACTCCGCCCTCACAGCACATCCAACCCAGCAGCAGATCCTTCTGGCTCTATCTTCATTATGTCCCGTATCCAACTGCTTCTCACTGCTTAACTCTGCCACCCTGGCGCTGATCACTCTGTCTCCTGACGGTTTTACTGCAAAAGGCCCCTCACAGGTCTCCCTGCCTCCACCTCGCCGCTCAGCCTGTTCCCACCCCAGCCACCAGAGTGACCAGGAGAACCCATTAAATACTCAGCTCCCTCTGAGTCCTTTCTCTGGCTACAAGCCCCCCGCGTCTCCCACCCTCCTGCTCCCCCCAGCTCTGCTCCAGCTTTGCTGGCCACCGCCCGGCACACACCTGGGCGGGCCTTGGCTTGCCCGGCTCTGCCCAGACGGCCACGGCCTGCTTGCTCCCGAGCCTCGTTCAGTTCACTACTCAATCACTACCCTCCCTACAAGGCCTCTTCCCACCACCCTATTTAAAACTGCAAGCCCTCCCACTCCCCATCTCCTTGTCCTGCGTCACTTTTCTCCACAGCACTTACCACATCAGACACATACTTTCGTTAACTCCGACTTATTGTCTCTTTCCACCATGAACCACAATCTTCATGAGGGTGGGAGTCTGACAGCTGCAGTCATCACTCTAGCTCCAGTATCTAACACAGTGCCTGGCCCACAGTACGTGCTCATAAATGTTAAATGAACAGGACGAAATGCGCACCAAGAGCCCAAGTCATTGCAGCTACCAGGACAGCTACTGAGGTCACTCTGAGCACCTCGGTGCCGGGCCCTCAGCTGAGGGCTAATATCCACTAGCCTACTCCCCTTCCTGGGGGACCCATTTTACAGAGAAGCCGAGTCATGCAGGTCTGCCTGGGCTCTGCTGTCTGGGCTCAGGCCCTCCTAGGGAGCAAGGATGGGCTCAGGCCCAGCCCAGGGTGGGGTGTCAGGGCATCAAGGCAGATCTCCTGCCCAGACAGCACACAGCGGACACTTGAACATTCGCCGAATGACTCAATGGGAAGAACCTGTCAATCTTACCAGGGTGGCCTAGGGTGACAGGCCTTGAACTGGGGGCCCGAGGGCCCCACTCTGCTATTCTGCCATGTGGGGAAGAAAAGGGACTCAGCTTCCTAAGCCCTGGCTGTGCTCCAGGCCCAGGACTCAGCACCTGGCCACCATCTCCTCCTTCAAGCCTCACACCTGCCCAATGAGGCAGGCATCTCCACCCAGAAATTGGCAGATCAGTGGAGGCTCCAAGAAGTCCAGTGCAT